CCCACAGGCTGCCAGTGGATTTGCACTGGTGTAAACGAGGGAGGACTTTAGCCTCTGGAGTGAATTCTTGCCCTGCTACTGCACTGCGGGCAAGGAAAGAGGCTGTCTATGCCCTTATCACCTATTTGCACAACTGAAAGTAGGAGCTTGGGAATTTGCCAACAGTCTGTGTTGGCATTTGGTAAGTAAAGGAAGAGGGAGAGATGTGCCTCCTTACATGCCACAGATCAACTTGGCCCCTTTCAGCCTCTCTCTTATTTATACCTGACCCACAGGTAATTCTATCATGTAACACAAGGGACCACAAATGACAATGCCATTTCCCAGCTGATCCACATCCATGGCCATCAACTCTCTGTTCTCCTCCCTACAAGCTCACTTTACTGCAGGGAATATAAAATACTGCTTGGATGACAATGAGCTTGCATGGAAATGCATACACATGAAGTTCTAATTAAGAAATAACTGCAGCAAAACATAAGCCCTCTCATGAAACAAAGCAAACAGCAGTCATATTAATAATCAATTGGATGGAGCAGCCACCTGATGCTGCCTATTTGGAGAAGTCCCTAGTTGCCACCAGCTTTTTGCTCAGGCAAAACCAGCTGAATAAAGTCTACGCCACACTCATTTTGACTCGGCAAAACAACTCCTCCATGTGCCACTTGACTCCTTGATGGTTTTTTCTCTCCCCTTCCTAATTAAACGTGCAAAGATAGATAAATATAATGCCAGTTTTTAAGCTCAGCTGGGTCACCAAGTTTGTACGCTGTGTCCAATTATAATTAGAAAAGCAATTATCTCCTTGTTGAAGGTGCAGCAAATCACACATTTCAATGCAAAACTTCATTTAGCTGCTTATGGCATATTAACTAATCTTACATCTCATTGATGTTTTGATCTATAACCTATTGCAAGGAGCTAATTTGATGGGGCTGCATGTCTCTGAGTCTATTTCTCACTCACAATATGATACTGAACATAAATTAAATATATGATATGATAAAGAACAAATTAAATGAGCAAAGGGATTAATTGCTAATAATTCTGCTGCGTTACCTTGGGAGAATCCCAGTATGTGCCCCTATCAAGAATGTGCTCCTTTCTTGGCTTTTCAGAGATGCCAAAAAGAGTCCACTTGCCAAGAAGAGGCAGAAATAATGCTGAGGCTTCAGATGGAATCCACAGGATTGAAACTGGTTGATCTTCAGAAGTGCTACACGCCTGCAGATCTCATTGATTTTGACTGGAGTTCAGGGTTCTTAGCATCTCTGAAAATAAGGCCCCTAATGCCTAGTGATGGTCAAATGCAAATCTCAAAAAGTCTTATTTGTTTAAATAAGCATCCAACAGTTCAGACGCTCTTTATCTGATCACCTTTTATCTCGGTATAATCCGGTGTCTCAACTGAGGAAAGGCGCAATATAATGTGGCACCAATACAGAGCAATGGATTTTGCAGCTTCTTTTCTCATTCCTCTCCCAGATGATTTCAATAGAGTTACACCAGGAATTAATTTGCCCCTTTAGTTATGTGCAGAAATATCATAAGAATCTCGCTTATGGTATTTTAGCATTTCCACTGCTTGTTTGGGGCACAGACAGGAAATAGCCAACTCTTACCCAGACATTGCAGAACTCTAGAAAGGTTTGGTGTGAGTTTGGTTCTAAAATTTGATGTGCTCCATGTGGACTGGTTTCCCATCCTTACCGAAGCCCTAATGCACACAATTAAGGATTGCTTTGGAGGCACTGCAATGCTTTGGAAACCTAGAAAGAGCCAGAGCTGTTGCTTTTTTGTGTTTTTTTGCCATTTCGCTGCTCATTTTCCCTACTGTGTCAGTTCTCCTTCTGCAACCTGCCAGAGTGCAGCTGGCATTACTGCTGTTCTTAGTTGGTGGTCAGGGTATACAGCCACAGAGAAGTTGATTTGATTTCCATAGTGACTGAACAAATCATCCGTTGCCTTTCCTGGTCCCCAGTGAGCAAGCAGGATGAATTTTGCTTCAGACCTTCAGAGCATTGTGTTGCAACACACACCCTTGTATTTGGAGCTTGGGCTTTTTAAGTGTCTACAGTTTCAATCTACTCTAATGCACATGATGCCTTAGTGGAGCTGAAGCACTGGTAAGTGCTGCTTTAAAAGCTTTGCTCCCTCATCTCTGCCTTAGTCTTTCTTCCTCCCTGGGGGAGGGGGCAAGGGGCTGGCATAAAAACTGTGACATGGCTCAAACCTACTAAAAACAAAAGGATCTGTCCTGCCATTGATCCATAGGGGCTTGATGTGGTTAACTGCCATTTACCATGCTTGGAATACATGTCTAAATCCTCTTTGCATTGACAGGGATATATTCTCTATCCTCCTAACAGTGGGTTGTTTCCCGCACTTCATAATACAAGTTAAAAGAAAGAGAAAAAAACAAAAGTAAAACAATTCAGTGACAGGGTTATACAGTAATATCACTGTGAATTATGTTACCTGCAACACAGGACTTTTTTTAAACTATTCACCATTTCGAAAACTGGAAAAATGCAAGAAAATGTGGGTCGCCAATTGCTCTGTATTGGACAGCAGGGTAATCTGTCTCTGGGGCACAGAAGCAGTCCCTGTAATGAGGAATAATTTGAGGTACTCTTGTCTGCCTCATCGAATCTGGAAACATTGCTAATAGCTGTTGTGTTTACATTACCCAGACAGACTTGGGATGTCAGGAATCAAAACATTCTTTCTATAATGTGAGAGAGCCTAACAGCTGATTGCCTGCCTTCCTGGAGTCCCTTCTTTCTCGGTTAACTATATCATCATATCAGAAAGTTCTCCGAACAAATAAATGAAGTCTTAAACAAAGAACACATTCATCTCTAAATTAAAATAATCATGTAATCCTTCAACCCACCAAGTTACCTTTCATCTTCCCATTTTTTAAAATTTATCACACCAGCTGCAGCAAGTGCCAGTAATAAAGTGTCACATTAAGGTATTCCTATTCATTAGTGTTCAGGCCTTTGTTCTTTTAATAGCGCTGGAAAGAGTCTACAAAGAAGCTGCATTAGGCTGCTCTCCAACCTGGGTGTCTGATCTCCCTCCTGACTTCAAAAGTGAGAAGGGGGGGGGGGAGGGGGAAGAAACATTAAGAATCGTTCTTTTGAATGTCAGACAGGGTATATGACTCCTGAGCCTGCCAAGTGTGAATTGGTGTCTGCCCCGGCCATGGCACAAATAAGTTCCACAGCCAGTTAGCTTGCAGCCATGAATCTTTACTACCTAACAAAGTGAACTGTCGGAGAGTATGAAAAAGAGCAATTATTATATGGTCAGCTCACGGAGAATCTTTTCAGAGATCAGTTTCTTGGGATATGCTGCACTAAGAAGTGTACACAGGAACCAGGGCATATTAGCCTTTAAAGCAGTTCAGTGGAAGGAGGATACATTTAATCTGATTTAAGAAAAAGACAATTAAAAAGGCTAACGCTTCTTCCATAATGTTTGTGACAGAGACAAGTGCCCCCTTTCTACTCATCATGCTAACTCATGCTGTTTGTCTCTCCTGCACATAATCAGGCTTTCTGGGTTTTTTGATAGAAGAGATGAACTAGCTGTTAAGTCGCTGAGAGGTGCAGAGCATACATACTACACACATACTAACTGCCACTCATGAGGAAGCTCAGCTCCCAGTGAAGGTAATGCAGTCCCCACTATCCGAGAGCGTCTGCAATATGACATGCCCTGTTATAAATACACTTGTCAAGGCACAACAGTCGGTTGGTAGGATGCTAAGAAGCAACAAAAGTTGATAAGTTCTTGAGGAAAGTCAACTGATTAATATCATGTCTGTCAGAGAGCTGGCTTGCCAGACTCAATCACTTTTTTGAGCTTCTCAGGATCTTAAAGAGGAAAGAAAACAACCTACTGAATAGTGTGTGTGTGTGTGTAATCTACTATGTTAATCATTCCTTCTGTTTGTGGGCATTTTTTTGCAATTCTGATTAGATCCAAGATCAAGTTTGATAGGGATGTAACACGTTAAGCATGATCTCCTGAGAAATCAGTCATCAACAGTGAATGACAACCACTTTGCTACTTAACCATGACAGCCTAACTTCTCCTAATGCAAATTGGCATCAATTTCTTCTGAGCATAGTAGAGAAAAAATGAGGAGAATTCTGATGAGGGAATTACCATCATTAACAATAATTTTTTCTACTAATCAGCAGAGTTGAATTTAGAATTTCAGAGGTCCCTCTGTGATTCTGAAACCCCCCTCCTGTGAGGAATGAGGTCAAAGCCTTGTTCCACCAGCACCACCACCATGCTGAGGTGAGCTCCTTTTCACGGAGGAGCCAATCACTGCCTGTGTGCACAGTTTTTGCTAAATAGTGCAGGGTTACTCCTGCCAGTACGAAAACAGAGTACCCTTGCCTGTGTTTTTCATTGCTGTTCGATGGAACAGATAAGCCATGTTAGAAGATGGATTATTTTCCTTCACACCACACTGTTTCAGCTTTGGGAAGTCCTTTATCAGATCATGGCAGAGGCCCTCATACTGTGCTATGCAGTCTGTGTGTGAGTGTGTGCACACAAATGTGTGAGGAAAATTAAATACTGCAAATTAAAAATAAAATATTTTAGTAAGACATGAAAGCCAGTTGCCTCAAGGACAGCAATTACTTTCACTTTAAAAAAAGACAAGAAAAAAACAACAGGGTTGCATTCATAAATCCCACCAGGTATTTGTCCTACTGATGCGTTCTGATTTCATGAAAGAGAACAAAAAATAAAACTGAACTGCCTACGGCTCTGCCCAGTGGGGCATTCTAATTGACTCCAAAGTCATTAATCAGTTCCCAATCAATCTATTCTACCAGCAGCAGGCAGTTAGGTCTCCATTACCATCCATTCATCATGCCATACCCTAATTCACTGCACCATTAGCCACATATTAGGCCTCAGTTAGGACAACTAAGTGGCAATTGCTAGCGCAGGAAGCTGCTGTCACTCACCTCAGCTACTGGGATGCCTTCAGGTGGACGGCATTGGAGAAGGACTTCCTGTTCCAAAGACACTTCTTTCCCCAGGGGCTCCTGTTCAAAAGTCTTCCGGAGATCTAGTAAAAACCAAAAGCAGGTTGTGAAGTCATTAATTCTTACAAAGATTTACAGATGAGTGTAGTCATGCAGAATGCATGTTGGGGTCTTTCCAAGCAGACAGGAAGACACAATCACTGTCCTGAAGAGACCCTCATCTAAAAAGACTGGAAAATATTTTCACTTCATTTTATCATGTTGGAGAACTTACATGGGAAAAGATTTCTTAGCAATTTTATTATTATGTATTATTTTTATTACTGTATGCCTAGAAGTCCCACTCACAGACTACAACCCTATTGTGCTAGGCACTATACAAACAGAACAAAAACAGAGCTTCCTGCGGCATATTCTTGTCAGAGCTGCTGCTGACTTGGTGTGCATCCATGCCACACCCAGTGCAGGGCTGTGACTACAAACCATAGTTTTGGAAAAATAGAAAAGACAGTGTGCATCACTACTACAGTGTGTTGTTTTTAGGGTTCTCAATAAAACCTTGCTTTCCAGGGGTCTTAAAACTATAGCAGGAAAACGTACCCTGAACTAGAAGTTGGTGTGGTCTAGTGGTTGGTGCAAGAAGGCTGGTAGTAAGGACTTACTAATTTTATTTCTGGCTGTGCTGAGGACTAGCTACCTGACCTTGAGAATGTTGACTCATCTCTCTGTTTGCTTCACCTCCTTAGGCCAGATCTACACTACAGACCTATATCAGTATAAGTATGTGGCTCATGGGTATGAAAAATCCACACACCCCAGTTACATAGTTATACCAACTTAACCCCCTGTGTAGACAGCGCTATGTCCTCAGGAGAAGTTCTCCCATTGATATAGCTACAACCTCATGGAGAGGTGGATTAACTACGCTGACGGGAGATGCTCTTCCATCGGCATAGGAGCCGCTATAGCACTGAACATGAAAACAAGCTTTTAGTTTGCTCAGCATTAAAAGGATATAACACCACCTAGCTCAAAGGAGTGTTTGTGAGGTTTAATCCATTCATGTTGGTAAAGAACATTGAGTCCTTCAGAGTAACGGTGCTTCAGAAGTGCAATGCAGTCTCAGTTTTTCTTTTAGATTTTAAATAAGCAAAAATTAATAACTGTATTTAGTTGAGTAAAATACAAAAATAGAGTTTAATGTTTAATGCATCTATAAAGATACTCCCAAAGGAGATGCATTGCCTCCATACAGCAAATGTATTTAATATATTTTATTCAATATCTTCATAAATGATTTGGATAATGGCAGAGAGAGCACACTTATAAAGTTTGCTGATGATACCAAGCTGGGAGGGATTGCAAATGCTTTGGAGGACAGGATTAGAATTCAAATTGATCTTGATAAACTGGAGAAATAGTCTGAAATAGATTGGATGAAATTCAGCGAGGACACATGATGCAAAGTACCGCACTTAGGAAGGAATTAATTGCACAAATACAAAATGGGAAATGACTGCCTAGGAAGGAGTAGTGCAGAAAAGGATTTGGGGGCTATTGTGGATCACAGACTAAATATGAGTCAACAATGTAATACTGTTGGAAAAGAAGCAAACAAGACACGAGAAGTAATTCTTTCACGCTGCTCAGCACCAATAAGGCCACAGCTGGAGTATTTTAGAGTGGTAGCCATGTTAGTCTGTATCAGCAAAAAAAACAAACTAGAAGAACTTGTGGCACCTTGAAGGCTAACAAATTTATTTGGGCATAAGCTTTCATGGGCTAAAACCCACTTCATCGGATGCATGGAGTGGAAAATACAGTAGGAAGATAATCCTGGAGCATTGTGTCCAGTACCAGGCACCGCATCGTGGGAAAGATGTGGACAAATTGGAGAAAGTCCAGAGGAAAGCAACAAAATGATTAAAGGTTTAGAAAACATGACCCACAAGGAAAGATTAAAAAAAATGGGTTTGTTTAGTCTGATGGACAGGAGAAGAAACAATGGGTTTAAATTGCAGGAAGGGAGATTTAGGTTACACATTAGGAAAAACTTCCTAACTGTAAGGATAGTTAAGCACTTGAACAAATTACCTAGGGAGTTTATGGAATCTCCATCACTGAAGGTTTTTAGGAACAGGGTCAAGGTTAGTCTAGATAATACTTAGTCCTGCCTCAGTGCAGGGGACTGGACTAGATAACCTATCAAGGTCCCTTCCAGTTTTACATTTCTGTGAAACTATGATTCTACATCCAACATGTGTATATAAATGCATTTTAGGAACTATTACAACAGGTTTTATTGTGCCCTAATATTAAAACTAGGAGATAATAGGAGACTGTAGTGTTAATAACAGTAGCATACTGTCATAAATATCAAATAGTATAGTAATAATAAATCTCAGGTGTTCAGATACCACAATGAGCACAGTATAACTTGATTAGATAGATAGATATTCCTAGGTCTTCCCTGGCATGTTGTTTTATGTCTTCCCACTTCCCTTCCAAACATTAAATGCAGATCTGAAGTTAACTTAATAACCTTTTAAACAGACATACACAAAATATATATAGAGAGAGATTATATATATTAGATATGTATACACACACACATTTATAAACAGGTGTATTGAGCTCATAAAGCAAAGCTTTAATACTTACAAATTAAAATACATTACCCATAATGCGCAATAATTACATTTAGTACACAAAGAAGCTTTCTTCTGATTATTATAAACAGGTGGCACAGATAAGTGTGAGCAGTACGTGTTCCCCATCAAAAGTTTCATTAGAGTTTTCACCAGGTGGGATTAATGCACATGAAGCTCCCCATTACTCACTGACTTGATATGCTGTAATATTTTGAAAACGCCACTGCATTCCAGTGGGTCAGTGATCTGCAAACTAAAAAATACTCGAAGTCCAGGTCCCTAACATAACAGAGGGTAATGTTCTCAAAGGAGCCATTAGAGACTATCAAGTAAATAATACTCATTTGAAAAAAGTACATAATTGTGTATTTACAAGATAGGGAGCTTTTCTACTCCATTCTGTCAACTTCATCCTGTGTGCTTAGAGCTTTATCCATCCAGAACTATATATGTCCTCCCAATCCATAGAGTCATCAGATAGCTGAAGACAGATACTGGTTGCGCAGTATGTTTAACTATCCAAGCATAAAGTTGGCTGGGGTGAAAAGCAAACAAACAAAAGTTCTAACTGAGGCTTTTTAGAAATGTTGAGGAGATGGAGAGCTCATGTAAGTGACTCTAGCACCCACTGTGTCCAGCTAGATACATCCCACTGGCGTAGGACTGGGGCTGTTTCTGAGCAAGTCAGTTTTTTGATGAAAAAGGGCCTTTAAAAAAAAAACAACAAAAAACCCTTGTGAAAATATTTTGTCTTCCTTACAATTCTCCATTTGCTATTTTCTCATTCCAATCTTCATTTTCTTGCTGTTTGTGGTTTTAGAGGGTTCTTCCCCCACCCTTATCAATTTTGATTGTCAGCTTAATCACACGGTGAGATTTTTCAAAACTGAGTATTTTCAAAACCCATATTTTTCAACTTTAAAACATGCCATTTTTGAAAGTTCTAACTGTTTGCAAAATGAGGTGGAAAAAAGGTAAAACACAGTCTCACAAGATTCCAGACTGAAAAATTTGGTCCATTTTGAAAACCAGAAGAATGAAACAATCTTCAGAAAATGTTGCAACTGAAAACAAACAAACAAAAGAGTCCACTCTAGTCAGGACTCTTGTCTGTGCAGAAACTCTGAATTGCTACAGCTCCTACGTCTGCAAGAGTTCCTTTCTGCAGTTCTCAGGGGGTCAGAGAAACTGGTCTGGCACCTCTTCCACCCCTAACCTTAGGATAAGTCATGTGAGGTAAAGGGAGGAGGGTACTCTCTTACCACATTCACTTTAGTAATATAGAGTATGTTTACACAGCAAAGGAAATCCCACGGCTGGCCTGTGCCAGCCACTTGGGCCAGTACTCGCGGTGCTGTTTCATTGCTGTGTAAACTTCTGGGCTTGGGCTGCAGCCCGAGCTCCCGGATCCATAAAATTTCTTCCAAGGCTGATTAGATCAGACAAGGAAGAATCCATTTCTTATGCTAGGATGCTAGGGAATCAGCATGCCTCTTTTGTGTCATTCCCATGAAGCCTGATTGTTGCATTAGCAGCCATATCAGGCTTGGGAGAATCAAAAAGGTGATGGTTCATACAGCTGCACAATTTAAGCACTACATAAATTATTGCTTCCAAAGGTGCAACCTTTATGGCTGCAGGTAGGGCGTCACCTTGGAGCTTCTGTGGGAGTGGTTTTGGCTTGGCTAGAACTCTCAGCCTGTACAACAGATATTTTTCTTCTCCCCCGTCCTGTACAGGATGTGATGTAATGGAAAGAAATTCAGGTTTAAGGATTAAAATTCTGGGATGCAACTCTGCGCCCAACCCTACACTCCTTACCAATGTGCAGTCCCAGTGAAGTCAATGACTATTCTTGTGCCACATATTACAGGCACAGCACAAAACACACACATAGCACACTGGGGCGAGACTTCATTCCGAGACTCCTGAAATACCTAGGGACATCTGTTGCAATCAGGAAAGAGAGCCTCATTCACAACTGTGTTGAAATCAATGGTTTTCCACTACTGTAAAACTGGACTAATAAAATGGAGGGATCAATCTCTCAATGTAAACCCACATCTGAATTTCTTTGCTTTTTGGAGAGGAAAAATAGACCCATTTTGTGAAGCATCTTTAAATGGCTCAATTTTAAATTCCAAGTGTAATGCATCCTTAGTCTAAAAACAACTCAAAAATTATATTTTTTATCTCCCCAAGGTAACGGTTTCTGTGTACAAATCATTTTAACTCCTGGCATGATTCTGCTTCCCTTTTTTTTTTCTTTTTTCTTTTTAAGCTTTCATCTTTGCAGTCAGCAAAGAATTACCTTTTTTTCCATTTTATTTATTTATTTTTTTTTACAAACTGTATTTTATTCCTTCATTGTAGTTCTGGGTTTTACTGTGATGTGTGGGTGGGTAAAACTTTAAGGATATCCTTTATCATTT